TAATACTTCGCTGTCGAAATTCGACTAGCAGTATGTGCTCATTGTTGTGTCACACCAAGTACACCCTATTTGGACTAAAACACGAAACTATTTTGATGCCACTGTTACAAGATATTTCTCGTTCATATTCAGTTGTTGTTTTGTCAGTTGGTAAATGTCCACCGATTGTTTTGAGGTATCGTCTGATAAGTAAAAGCCAAAATCATATAAACAGGTAATGAGTACAACAGATGGTACGTTTCTAAACATAGAGATTAATATGAAATATTTTTAGACACATTTAAGTACTTTTTAAAACAATTAGTTCCCTTTATGGATGTGCACAAAGCAATAACAAGACGTAATTTGTCTGAATCGTGTGTGTGTAATGTATTTGCGCGATACATTTCGAACAATCTGATCACACATGGACTTTTTCTTTTCTTTTTTCTTTTCGATAACAGCTTGATGCCACACCCTATTTTCAGTACAACTATGACATTCTCAGCATGGATATCGGTAGCCCAAATTTTGCAGGCCGACCATAGATATCGGGTGTGCGTCGGCAGGGGATCGAACCCCGGACCATGTGCATGGTAGGCGAGAGTCCTAACCACTGTGCCACCGACTTGTTATAGGAATGAATATATATGAAATTAATAAAGAGTTAAGGCGTGAGAAAATAAACTTAGGTCAAGTTAAAAGGACATGTTGAAGGTCAAAATAACAATGAATGAAGTTCATAATAGTATATCAATTACATCTGTGAAAGAGGAAGACAAGAGTTTATCTTTTCTAGATATACTGCTTAGTCGACCGCTTGATGGATCAATAAAACGATCTATTTATAAAATACCTACCTGGACAGAACAGTATCTTAATTACCACAGTTTCTGCCCTGTTCGGTACAAAAGAGCCTTAGTAAGGTGCTTGTTCAGTAGAATCCAACGAATATGCACTGAAGACACACTTGATGAGGAAGAAAGAAGGTTTGGCACAAACTCTAGTTGATAGTAATTATCTACATAAGTTCATCAGGAGATATAAAGTAGTTATAACACCAAGTCTCCCTCTACAACTCGCCCCTAAGAAAGACGTATACATCAAGCTACCCTGTATGGGGCATCACGGCAGCTTGATAACTAGACAAAGACTGAACGCTGATGTTAAAAAGACTTTTTATGCAGCTAATACCATAATAATTGAGAATGTGAAGCCAATATATCTATCTAAGCCCTTTGAACATGCGAAAAATGATGTCACATCCCACTGTATTTACCAATTTGAATGTAAGTGTGGACACACATACATAGGGAGGACTCATCGATCTCTGCCAGCAATTAAGGGCTGGCTTCAGAGCACATTCCTAAATGGCTCCAGAAGCAAATAGAATTTCCAAAACCAACAATGGTAACAACAGGAAACCTAGCTCGTCTATTGCGAAACAATATGCAAACAGGACATAAAATTGATGTTCACCCATCTTTTAAACCTATCTATAAAACGTGTTTGGGGCGTATCCTAAAGTTTGTGGAAGCCTTAGCTGGCAGTTAGGCAGTTTAAATCACCTTCATGCGTTCAAAAACAATTCGTCATCATACCAAACCTTCTTTGGTAAATTTTGTTTTGATACCATAGCAGATGTACTATTACCTCTGCTATTTGGTTTAGTGGTCTTCATTGTTATTTTGGCCTTCAATATGTCTTTTCAACTTGATCTAAGTCTATTTTCTCACCTCTTAACTCTTTATTAATTTCCTATATATTCATTCCTGTGACAAGCCCGAGTGTGATGGATCAGATTGTTCAAAATGTGTTGCGCAAATACATTGCACACGATTCAGACAAATTACATCTTCTTATTGCTTTGTCTAAATTTAAAGTACTGTTTTTTCAACAATAAGAAATATTTGAGATATTCGAAAAGCCCAGCTCCTACAGTTACCTCTTCCCAAACTTTATCATTAAATAAAAGTCCATCACCTCAGTGTTGTGTCACTTAGCCCAATAAGTGTATCTTATATCTGATCAATCGATTTCTATCAACAAATAGAAATGCAAAAGTACATTTTTTTACCATTCGATATAGGCAATGAAAGACTGGTTATAGAACTTTTATGAGCTTAAATTTATAAAACCCTAATTAACCCTTTTTGTAAATCAAAATAACTGTCATTTATGGTTGTAAATCAAGTGATGCTAGTAATTTGTGTAGTGCACTTTATACTTTATTCAAAGAAAATACTGAAATTTTCTTTTCTCGAGCAATAAGAAGTAGAGGTTGCTATGAGTAAACATACTGATTTGAATCCAGAGAATTCCATCCATTTTTTTTTCTTGGAAGATTTTCATCCCTTAGCAAACCTTTCATAAAGGTTCAGTTCGTTCGATGTTTGGAGAAGATTTTCTACCTGTCATTTACAAGCTTTTAATATTCCTACCATAGTAATAAAAAGTGTCTCGGTGGCACAGCGGTGGAATGCTCGCCAACCACGTCTCATGTGGTCCGGGATCGGATCCCCGGCCGACTCACTGCCTTACGTCGCTAAGCCGGTAATAACACTGGTAAAGAGGAAAGATTGGGCATGGAGCTAGCAACCCCATCCAGTAAAAATGAATATCACTGCTACCGAAACTTCAAAGCTGTTGCTTGAAGCCCTATGTTCCACTGGGAACGTAAAGGGATAAAAAAAGTAATAAAATGTTGCATATCTAAATCTCCTGACTTACCAATCAACTTAGAATATTTTCTGATGTACATTAGTCGAAGTTACCACATTTCAAAGAAGGACATAAAATAGGGACCTTTGCCGAAAAGTATTGAAAGTGTTTGGAATGTCATTGACGTGGATTGCATACATTTCCAAAGCTGTAAACAGTTTTGAGCTGTAACACAAAGTGTCTCTAAATAACGATCCTTAATATTTTGAGGGTTACAGTTGTTTCATTCTATACCCACCTGTGTAGCACACTTCAACAGTTGATGACATTACAGATTGGTCTCACGTTTTAATCTGACTACCCCTTACTCTATTCTCACCTCATCCTACCGCACGTACGATTACTGATCAAAAATAATGGCTTGTGTGATTCAACTATTTCACTCTATAAGTATTTATAACCTCATCCAGAAACTTAAATGCCTTGCCTATTGTTACTCATCCTGTTGTTCTGTCAAATTTGTGCAAGTGAACATAGACTCCTATGACAAGAAACCTGTAATCTTTTCAAATCTATTTTACTGGCCATGCCTTATCGACAAAACTACTGCGTGGTAGATGCATTCTTTCGTTGGAAGATGAATATTTATTTACGTTTTACTCATATAGTAGGCATTTGATTGATTCATTACCAATTATGAATATATTTCTATTGAAATACTTTTAATTGTTCAAATGAATTCATTGTAATTTGACAGTTGTTTCCTCATTCCAGACGAAAAAAAAACATTATAAGTAACTTGAGTTGGATGACGTAATTTTTTCCTCAATAAATAGGCATCTGTTGTTATTAGATGAATATAGGTAATAGGCAGAAAGCCTTGGACCTAGGTTTCGTGCTTGTTAACACTTGTCACCAACGCATACCTGCAACTGCCTTGAAAGAACTCATGTCCCTTCTGACTAACCATCTAATAACAACAATGCTGAATGTACTGTGATGGCAAGCCATCTAGCATGATGGCCAAACTGCAAACTTGACTGATAGAATTCAGTCTGCAGTATACAAAAGGACAAGGCACATGACACTAGTTAGTACCCAGTCAAAAGTATAAATAAGAATCATTGATAAACTTATTGCTATACGGGTAAATATCTTCTGTAAGATTCTCAGACTCTACTTTCCTTATGAATGCAATCACCAGGAAGACAATGATTCTTCTCATTGGCTTTAATTAAAATATTTGAAGACTATTTATATTCGACAGAAATCTTAGATGTGTGTCACCTCTGGCACTGATATACCTTTTTTCATTCCTTTACGTTTCCAGTGGAACATAGAGCTTCAAACTAGAGCTTCGAACTTTCAGCGGCAGTGGTATTCATTTTTACGGGATGGGGTTGCGAACGTCATGTCCAACCTTCCCTCTTCACCAGTCTTATTAGTGGCTTAGCGAGGTAAAAGAGTGCGTCCGTGGCTGGGGATCGAGTCCTGGACCACATGAAGGCGTGGTTGGCGGGCATTCTGCCTCTGTGCCACCGACGCACACTATGGATGCACTGCATTCTCTGAATTATCTGTATAACCAACTTTATAGTTCAGATGAATTTACTTGAATTCTTCACTGTCTGTATGATCTCGTAAAATCAATACATATTTAATTTCTTCACCTTATACCGGGTCGTTTCAGAACGGTGGGATATTTAAACAGAATATGCTGTCTTCAATATAATTTCACTATTTTGTAGACATTCTAGAAGGGATATTGAGGACTGTATCAATACTGGGATGTTAGACGTATACTTTTGATTGGACACTAGTTAGTAACTAGTGTAATGTGTCTAGTCCTCTGTTTGGTGCAGACTGAATTCTGTCAGTCATGTTTGCAATACGGTCACCATTCTGGGTGGCTTGCCACCACCTTGCACTTTGAATTGTTGATTTTAGACGGTCGGAGGAAATCGACCACACTAGCCCAACCTTTCCTCTTTACTATTGTTATTGCCAGATTAGCAAGGTAAAGGTATGCGCTGGCCTGAGACCGAGCCCCGTATCACATGCGTGGTTAGCGAGCATTCTACCGCTAAGCCATCGACTCTGCCATTGATAAGTACGGCATATTTATGAATTTAAAGATAAAACTTACAGAGATAGTTCAACATTTTTCTGTGACCAGCTTTCACTAACTGTATAGATCACCAGCCGAGTACAGGGAAGAAGTCCATAAAAAACAGATGACATTAAATGTTTCTCAATGTTTCATCTAATATTTTCTCTTTCATATTGAAACAAATCACTTTTCCTAAGTAAAAATTGCTGTTTTATTACAAACATTTTATTCAGTTTTTCTAACATATTACTAAAAAGAACATACATGAGACGACTTTTTCTAAGAAAAATACATGATTGTAAAATGCTTACATAGGCATATTTCAGTAAACAAATAATTTTTCTAAAAAAAATATTCTATTTAACAGGTTTGATATTGCGTGATCTGTAAACTAAATCAACTTGAGTATCATTCACAACTTCATCTTCTCCCAATTCTTCATTATCCCTATAAGTAACCATTTTCGGTGGTCTATTCAGCTTTTTATTTTCTGTACTGTTACCCATCCAAACAGGACAATCATTGACTGTTGGCAATAAATCATTCACCACCGAGTAGAGTGGCATACATTGTAGATTAGGACAATATTCGAACTAGAAATATAAGAATTGGAAGAAAAAAATCGCCTAATTATTATATATTTACAGATAAAATATGAATTTCCAATAGTTAGTTTGTAAGGATTAGATTATAAAATGGTTGGAGGCAATCGGCCACAGGAAGCCTTCTACCTAAGTTTCGCGCTAGTTGGCACTCATCAGCAAGGCGTATCTGCAACTGTCTTGAAGGAACTGATTCCCTTCTTAGATTCGAACCCACGTCACCCAGTGGGGCTGCAGTCACAGACGTTACCACTGAGCTATTCAGGCTCAGTGGTAGACTGATAGAATTCTGTCTGCGCCGAAGGTAGGACTAGAGACATTACACTACTTACTGACTAGTGTGCAATCAAAAAAGGATTAGATTAGTTTTTACGAGTTGATCATGGATTGACAGAAGTTGGAATTCATATGCTGGCCATTAAGGAGTTGGGTCCCAGTGGCTGAATGGTATACGAGTCAGCTTGCCTTGTAACTGGAAGATCCTGGGTTCGAATCCTGGCAGTGGGTGAGTAATGCCAAAGATTCCCAAACTAGGCTGATGAAACAGCTTGCTGTCCAGTACTCCCTGTGGCTGGTTTCCAGTGGTTCTCTAACTGATATCAATCTGTGAACAACTCGTAAAAATATGAATTGGAAAAATCATTCATGCAAAAATAAATCACTTTATTATTTCTACATTATTCATTTTAACTGTTTTGTAGGGTTTGTTATGACAGGAACTTTTAATTTATGCATGAGTTCTTCTAAATGTCTAACTGTATGACCATTTGGTTGAGGAATAACTCTTCCAGAATAAGCAATAAAAATATTTTATTGTTGAGCAGATATTATAAAAGGTACCAGTGAGATGATAACAGTCAAGATTATTCATGTTCCGTGTGAAAATAAGTAGGGTGAATACAGTTTGTTGGTGATAACATCAGTGAAGTAGTGACACATGCCTAAAGAATTCAGTAGAAACAGCATTCAATGCAGCAGAGACAGCTAGATGTCTCTTTACATTCACTCCAGTTTTAAGCTCAAAAAATGAGGATAAACCACCTGATTCTGCTACCTCTATGTATATCTACCAATTTTACTGCTCTCTTGGAACCAGGTTCTCTGAACATGCATTTAAGCACGTTAATTATCAGATATCTGAACATCGTTCTGTATGATAGATTAAGGAAGTGACAAACAAGAACTATTCGTGGCTGTGTTTTAGCACATCTTGTAAACAGTGTGTATAAAGCTGATATTAATAATGCATTGAAGATTATTTTTCTCATTCTGACCCATAACAACTCTGCTTTACGACTTCGCCTTCAGCATACAGTTGAAGCTATCAGAATCCACCTAAGGAAGCCAGACTTTTATGTTCATTCTGTCTCAGAATTTCATCATGAGATGACATCAGTTAGAGAACCACTGGAAAACCTGTGAACACTGGACAGTTGTTTCTTCCTAGTTTTGGACTCTTCAGAAGTACGCATCCACCGTGGTTCGAACCCAAGTTCTTCCGGCTACAAGATGAGTTCGAATTGTATTAAAAAGTTGTAGATGTTAGAGTAGAGCCATAGAACAGCATCCAACTGGAAAGTAGATATTTCTCTGCTCAATCCTTTTGTCCTCTGCGTTTCCAAACTTATTTTGATAATAAACACCTGATCAGTAGATTTCCGTCCATATCGAGAACTAAGCTGATATATTATTTGTCCTCTGGTAATCAAATACTCAACTATACTAGCAATAATCCAGTTACTCACAAGCGAAACTGTGTGCAGACATTATTTAAAAGAGCTCAGACACATTGTAGCACTCCAGAATTGAAAAGAATGGTAGAAAATTACCTACAAACGGTCTTTAAAAAGAATGGTTATCCCCAAAATTTCATCAAAAAGTGTTTAAAGTTGAATCATAACACAAACAAGAAACCATCATCAAAGAACACAAGAAAATTCATCCTACCATATACGAGAAATATCTCTGAAATAACAGCTAGAATATTTAAACCGTTTGATATAGATATAGCACACAAGCCAGCCAACACAATCACTTCATTCGATATTGCATAAACCAAAAGATCCAACAGAAAAAGAAGTTGAAATTAATACCATTTACAAAATAAATTGTATGAACTGCAACAAGCATTACATCGGCCAAAGTGGGCGTCCCCTTAGAATTAGAATCCAAGAACACAAATCAGCCGTGAAAAGACACGATATATATTCTTTGGTATCAATGAATATAGACAATTATGGATATCAATTTGATTGGGATAATGTCGAAATCTTAGGCAGAGGAAACACCGAAAGTGCCGGGGAATTCCTAGAAGCCTGGTACTCAAACGAAAATGCAATTAACAAGCACGTTAATATAGACAAAATATACCAATTAATGAAAAGTAAATCAGGTGACCAGAAAGTTTAAAATCCAAGTCAATAGAAAATGGTCAATACATATGCAAAGATGGTTACCGGGAGACGCAACTATATCACTCATAAAGAAATTTAAATCAGTTCACTTTATGCTAAATATTGCGCTGAAGATGTTGTCCAGAAGGGCGACGAAAGCTTCGCAACTAAACCAACCAGCTCAGAGAACACTATTAACTGCAAACGTATACACTTTATAAGTGGTGATTTGTAGATATGTAACTGATTTCATATTAGATTTCATCATGCACCGAAATCAGTTATAGAATCACTAAAACCCGGATGCATTTTATTCTTGACAAGAGAGTGAATATATACGAAGAATGCTCTTTTCAACAAACTTCACATAAATATATCTTGACAGTGATTAATTACTCGAGCACATATTCATAGATAATCCCCAAAATGTTTTTATTCTTATCGGACAAACCTAATGTACACACACACATAGAAAAATAAGCAAATATAATTGTGATTGTAAGAAATCCCATTTGTATACCTAAATGTTTATCCCAAGAATATGAATTTTTCTAACGTTCAAAAATTTTGTACAGTTAAGACAATTTTCATTGCTCTTTCATTCAAAATCAGCTTAAATAGCAACCATTCGCTTTTGATAGCTCTGAGGGTGAACGTTTGTATGATCATTAAATGATATGTTTCAAGTGTGACCATGGATTGATATCAGTTAGAGAACCATTGAGAATTAGCAGGGAGTATTGGACACCTATTTCATCCTAGTTTGGTATTGAACGACAGTACACACCCAGGGTGTTTCGAATCCAGGACCGTGGGCCATTGATTAGGGTTCCAGTGATTGAATCGTCTATGAAACTGCCTTGTAAATGGAAGGTTCAGGGTTTGAACCCCAGTGGGTGTGTACTGTCGATGAGCTCGAAACTAGGATGAAACAACTGTCCAGTACTCCCTGCTGGTTTTCAATGGTTCTCTAACTGATATCAGTCCGTGATAAAGCTTGAAATAAATCAAGTCCTTACAAAAAGCTCTTGAATATTAAATTACACTTTGACAGAACACCTTTCAGAACTCTACCGTAAGCTATTTGAACTGCTATCGATTGAAAAATCCTCAGTATCTTTATGATTATCCATCAAAATTTTATGAACTTCATGTATTTCTAAGCAATTTTTAATAGGCAGACAGATTAATAATTTTGTCAACTCTTTCTTTCTTCGACAGATATGAGCTAAAATCATGACACGATCAAAGTTATAGTTGCATTTATTCAGTAATCACGTCACTAATATAAACAGTATTTCCTGGTTGATAGTAGCTAGCCGGGAAGTCTAGGATGATAATTTCATACTGTGGTGAGAGCTGTCTGCAAGCCAAAATTGTAGACAACAGTTTACTTCCCGAATCGGGGTCAGGAGAAAAAAAGCAATAGCAAAGCTTAACCCTGAGGAACTCACCAACCAATCCCAGAAGAATTAACGTGTGCAAATACGATTCGCAGATATATGGCTTACCTTTCTAAGAAACGTTCACAATCAGTACAGAATAACTTTCAGCAGGAAAACAACCAATCACAAGAAGTTGCTTCCCTACCAACAATAACGCTAAATATAATGTACATAAAAATTTCTGAATATCTCTTGATTTTCTCAATCAACGATCTGTTGCCTGGCCCTTGTCTTTTGTCGTTACAATAGTACTTAGGGCTTTTCAGATAGATTTATCTGAGTCCGTGGCCGGTGATGAAGGATGTTTCCAGTGCGACATCGCTTATTTTAAAATTTAAGAGCTTAATTTCACAAATAAAAGGCAATAAACGACCATCATATGTATGATTATAACCAGCTATTCAGGGGGGGGGGGGGAGAAATTCTCTTACTTGTACATCCATACCACGCTTAAAATGTTGAAAAGTTAACGGTTGAATAAGTGGATTTCCGGTATTCGATAAAAATTTGGCAAAACCATCAGCAGGATAGCCTGGAGCTGAATAAATTGGATATGAATTAGGCAGAAATGTTTTATTTTTCAACCATTTTCTACTTTCTGGTGACATATACTGTTCTAAGACAATACGTTGATATGTATTGTATGGAATCCAAATAGCTTGTTTTTCAGAAACATAAGTATAACCAGCACGAGTATTACAGCTAGCTAATTCAACTAGCAGTTTTCTATCAACGTCTTCATCAGCTTTATCTGCATTTTTATTGATTTCTTTTACTATAAAATAAAATAAAAATATATTAAATGTATTAGAAAAAGTGTAGCAAAGTAGAGTTGTTTAATTAATTAAAAAAGTAAAAATTAACATTTAAACTTCAATGAAATCTGTAAAACACTTATCAGCTGAGTAGTATTGTTTGGGAGTTCAGTGTAGAAAACATAAATGCATAGTTGCAAGGAGACTTATATGATAAAAATATTTCAAAGACAAGGTAAACCATAGGTTGTGGAATGAATCTTAATACTTACTTCGACTTATATGGATAAGAGAGACAGAAAGGTATATTGTTGTGCATCGTTATAGAACACTGGGCAACCACGTAAGTGGTCCGGCGTCTGATCTCCTGTAGATGCATATCTTTACCTCACTTAGCCTGTAAGCCAGGTGAAAAGGGAAGGTTACCCATGAGGCTAACAACCCCATCTTGAATAAGAAACACCACTACTACTGAAACTTCGAAGCTCTAGCTTAACACCATATTTTTCACTGGGGATGAAAACCAATAAATAATAAGGCATATCATTCGTTTGCTATAACAGATAACTCTGAATGTCCTTGTGGTCAGCTCAAGCTGAAATAGCAACAAAATAAAGTCTCCTGAAAATGAAAATTGATTTATCTGGTCGCATAAATCATGAGGAAGCATGAATGAGCAGCTAAAGACTAGCTAAACAACTTAAAACCTATTTCATCGTATTATTACTATTGTTCTCTTGAGTTCCGAGTGGAACATGGGGCGTCAGCAGCATACTTCAATTTTATCCTCTTCTCTGCTGTCATCTTTAGCTGACCGCACGATCAATTTTCGTCTGCTTTTCACACGATCTCTTCCATGTCACTCTAGGACGCCTTACTCATTGTTTGCTGTTCGAGTAGATTATGGACTCTCTAGCTGACAATTCGGATAGTCCACATCCACGCCCTCTGCTCTCGCAAATTCCCAACACTTCCAAGCCGTATCTTTTCATTTCTTTTGTAACCTGAACAGCCCTGCCAACTTCGTACATTGTACGAAAATTTCAACTGCCCATTCTTATTTTGGCTTTCAATAAAAGAAGACACATCCGCTGACTGGCTTCCCAAAGGCTTTCAGCAGTCCGCGTCATTTCGCCTCTCTGATTCCAGAGAATAATAGGTTTTTTTATATTCTTCTAGTGCTCTGAAGTTTCTGTGACAATGGCATTGGCTTTTCGGAGCAGGGTGGTTAGCCTCACTCCCAACCTTCCCTCTTTTCCTGGACTTCGAACCGGTTAGAAAACTAGTGGATTAGTAAACTAGGCTAGGTTCAATTTCATCGTAAGCCATGATGTATTCTCTCAGCTTCTGTTTGCAACCGCTTGATTGTTTCCTATTTAAGTCAGGTGAATTTATTGTGACCCCTGATTTTATTCTGTTATCTTGTTCTATGACGCTGTAATGACTATCACTTTAAGTTGAATAATTTCATAGCTGTTGACACCACCAAAATTATGAGACTGAATGACATAGCTTCAGATAACATCAAATTCTAAAGTACTTTTAGAACTAGGCTAATAGTTAATTGTATCATCTGATGGTTTTATCTTCTACCAGATTTTGTTCTCAAACTAATTCGATTTATTTCATTCTGGTAAGTGAAATAAATTTTCATCTCATTCAATATTATTCTTTAGATTAGTTATCAAAAAGAAACAGTTTATTATGCAATTCTGTAATTTATACAGACAGCATACAAGTTCAATACAATTTTACTGGTCAATGAACACACCCATATACATTCACAACAAACAACAACAACAATACATTTTAGCATAAATAGGGGGGGTATTAATTCCGTTTTGCATGTTAAATATTAGCAACCTTAGCGACTGAATATGTATCGATTACTATGGATAAGTGATACGGACTTTTTCGTTTCTACCTGTGTTATACACATACCTAACATTTAAGAATATAAAGCTGGTAAGGTGAAATAAACTGGTTTAATAAGTTTTCTTGCTAAATTGTAGTACCTATGTTCATGAACTATCACATTGTGGGATTATGCACGAAGCTAATGTCTCTAAAAACACCATGACACCGACTGAGCACTAGAATTATTCGTGTTTTGCTTGAAGGATTTCATCATGAGCTGATATCAGTTAGAGAACCATTGGCAAACCAGGATGGACTACTGGACAACTGTTTCGTCCCAATTTGGGACTCTTCAGCGAGACGCACCCACTACCAGGGTTCGAACCCAGGACCTTCTGGTTACAAGGCGAGTTCGTAGACCATTGAGCCACTGGGACTCGATCCAACGGCCCATGAATTCTAATTTCTGCCAATTCACGACAGAAGGTCCTGAGTTCCAACTCCCTTGGTGTGTGCATACTGTGAAGAGTGCCAAACTAGGACGAAACATCTGTCCAGTACTCCCTGCAGGTTTTCCGATGGTTCTCAAACTAATGTCAACTCATGATGAAATCCTCCAACCAATCGAACTAAATCCCTACAAAAACCAATACCTGAATATTCGTGTTTTCTTTGATTTTAGGAATCACAGATAATGATTAAAATGATCATAAAAGTAATTTTGGGGTTAAGTAATTTCTAAATAAAATGAGATTCACTAAAGAATGTCCATTTCGGGAGAGAGAGAAAACCTTATTGAAGGTATGCTTACCAAATATTTACACTTACTGATAGGCAGTAAAGCATACAAGGTTTTCTACGTAGTAGTATTTATATCTCTGATTGTTTCAGTGATGAATGTCACAATTCCAATCAGTAGGAGTCGCTGACTACTTTACTACAGCTTATAATACCCTATTACCAAATTACACTCGATTTTTCTATTGTCTGCTTCCATTGTTAAAAGGAATACTGATTTACGTTAGTTATATATAAACCATGTAATTCTTAATGGGGTGTGAATTCCTGTATTTGGCTTTTCATCTGAAAAACTTGACACATTTTCAAATGTACATTGCAGAATTATTGTTGGAAATTTATATTTGTAAAGTTAATTCACTTATTGTCTATCCAGCAAGTATATACCCAATGAATATGCACCAAGTAGAGCTGAAATGCTATTGTAATTTATTTCTCAACAAAGATAATATTTTATTTCAAATTTGACCATGGATTGATTTCAGTTAGAGAACCACTGTAAACCAGGGAGTAGTGAACAGTTGTTTCATCCCAGTTTGGAACTCGTCATCAGTTCCCGTCTCAGTGGTCCATGAATTCTAACTTCTGCCAATTCGTGATTTTAGCGCCACCACCAGCCAATGTCATTGGAGAGTATCTGTCCTAACTCCCGACTGGATGGAACCAAATAGTCATCACTTTTCACTAGAACTCCAGACACCTTCATCCGGAAGCCAGTCACTAGTGAGCATCAGATTAATTATCACTAATAGTGATTCATTAATAGATTATTGATTAGTTGGTATGTGAGCAATAAAGATATTCAAGCACAGACTGGTTGTTTTTACATGAAAGCTAAACTTGATTCCCTATCAAAACTGAAGAAGAAATTGAGTTCCCCGGCTAATTAGAAGATACATTTCTTAAATAGACTTCATCAGTAATCCAGCTTATTTTTTGATTACAGATAAGTGTGTCTTAGCTTTAGCAGATATCTTTTAGGCTGAAGTAATATTCTAAATGAAGATAACATATGAATAGCATGTAGCCTACATTCTTAATACAAACAATGGGATAGATAATATAATAATCGTAAGGCCGCTTGTTTAAAATGAGCTGTCGTATTTAAGTCAAGAAGTATTTACACATACTCTATGCTATTCATTCTTTCAATGACACACTTTGAGGCTTAGAAGTAAAAGAATTTCGTTGGTGGATGGTGACTAGATGCGCATTTCGTCCTATTTGGGACTCGTCATCTGGATGTACCTGCATTGTTCAGTGAGTGATGATGTTCCCACCGAGGCTTGAACCCAGTGCCCATAGTTTCAAATGCCAAAGCGTTATCCAATAGACCACTTGGGCCACGAGAGCCACCTCTTGTGCAAAGGGTCATCCGTCTGACGAGTCCCAAATGGGACGAAATGCGCATCCTGGATTCCACTGCTAGTCACTATCCACCAATTAACTTCTAATTACATGCCCAGACATCGTCGGAGCATCTGCACAAGAAGCCGACATGTCAACCTGAGACCGAGCACTTCGGTCCAATCAATCGACGGGAAAATCTAAAATTCAATTAAATTAGAAGTAAAAGGTTTTCGGTCTAGCAAGCTGAGGGCATGATATGAACACTGTTCACTTAATACTTACGCTTATCACACTCATGCTGTTGTTCAGAGCAAGAAGAAACTACCACAGCCGCATAATAACGCAGATTCTTGAGATTAGTTGGCTTGGTTTTGTTAGAGTTAGGACATTTGGGTAAAGGCCAAGTTTGTGGAATAAGTACGCAGCTTCCTGGTTCAACTGGATGTTTTCTAGCATGTTTCAAATCAATGATATCTGTAATATCAATCCATTCATAATAAAATATATCAGAATCTAATCCAGCCGATTTAGATTTTAGTAGGCTTGAATTTGTTAAACATTTTATTGGACCAAATCGTACCAGAACTTCATCTACAGGGGAGTGTGATTTCTAAAATGCAAAATAAGGATAGAATTAAGTGAATTTCATTATATTAAACGTGCAAAGCTTTAACTATTTTCATATTCATTCATAGAAATTAGAACTTTACAAAAATGTTGTCATTAGTTAAATCAACTGGGTTACGATCATTTTTTGTACTAATGAAATTTACTGAAGTCAAGAACTTATTTCTTATTGACTAATAGGTTCCTTCACTATTCTGTAACACCTGCAGAAGCAAACCCAAAGGCTGACACCTTTGGAGTTGTATTAAGGAAGGAGAACTTCCCTAACTTTTGTCTTCTGCTAAGAATATGTTACTGTTTGTAAAGTAAAGAGTTAATGTGCGGTCGAAAGGTTCCTACTTCAGAAAGTTATTGTTATGTAAAAGCCAGTAAGCTAATTTGCGCTTACGACAAATGCCTTTTAACCCTGAACACAACAATTGTGTCTTTATATTATGTGCAGTTCAGATCCACAAATCACACACAGTATCATGTTGATAAAAGATTTATAGAAGTGGACAATAAAAGGTTCGAACTGAGCCAACTGAATTGCAGAAAATCAGAAGTCGTATACAGGTACATCAGAAAATAAAAATCTAACTAATGGTCCTTAATCTCTGCTATTTGACAGTGGATTTCCCATCATCCAGCTTGCCCAAATCTTCAACAGAAACTTTATTAAGAGGCGAGACATTTGTGAGTGTTACATGAATATATTGATATCCATTTTCTTCTTCTTTTATTGTAAACGAGAGAAGAGAATTCAGTTTTGTAACATTTCTGTTTAGAATTTTTTTCGCAGCACGTAAGGATAATTCATCTTCTGTCTTGTGCTGTTGCCTTTAATTAGTGACTGTTAGATTTTTATTCACTTGGTTGATTGGAAGATTATTGCTTTTCTTCCTGAGTAGGTTTTAGATTAGGTTTCCTTCCAAAAGTCTACTGATTTTAGCTACATTTCATTACGAGGTTTTGTATAAGTTTTCTGCTACTGTCTTTGATATGAATGTTGTAAGGTGACAATATTTTTCACAGTTAAAGTAATTACGATTTTCTCCCGGCGGTTGCAAGAGGCTTTTGTGCATCGGTGGCACAGCGGTAGAATTCTCACCAACAATTCGAATGGTTCGGGGTTCGATCTCCGGTCGACTCACTCCTATACCTCGCTAAGCCAGCAGTAAGACTGGTAAAGAGGAAAGGTTGGGGGGCATGAGGCTAGCAACCCCATCCCGTAAAAATAAACACCACTGCTACCGAAACTTAAAGCCTCTAGCTTGAAGCTCTATGTTCCACTGGGAAAGTACAGGAATAAAAATAATTAAAAAAACAAAGATTGAGATCAAAGATGAAGCATTGTGTCTTCCTGCTATTAGTTGATATGCCTTGACTCTTTTCTAATTCTAGAGACCACCCTGAACGATGTACTATTGTAGACATTATTCACATTTGATTACGTAACCTATATTTGCCTTCCATTGCATTGACAATGAATCTTTCGTGAAGCCTTTGGACTGCAGTTAATCCTGGCCTTTGAAGACAATCTCTATACGCAAGGTTTCTTATCAGATGTCAAATGATTGGTGTTGTAGGTTGGAATCCGATTAGTTAGAGTAGCATTCCTATCGTTAGCTCTGAGAATAAATAAGTCTGGGGGGGTGGAGATTCACAAACTTCCTCTCTTTTTGTAAACTCAGGGTTTGATCGGTAAAACTAAAGGCTTCATACAGTGAATTTAACAGCACATGGAGTAGGATAAAAAAGATCCATTTTATTTCATCAGGATCTTCTCAACTGAATACAATCTGTATAGTGAAAGCTAACCGTTTTTAAAAAATCTTAACATACTTTAATTCATTGGAAATAAATTTTAGAACGAATATTAAGAATAATTACAGTATGTAAATGAATGGAAATGTTTGCAGAGATCATTGATGCCAACGGGTCAAAACCTGACTTATGTATTCAAATGGAATCTGTAGAAAATCTTTCTCTACCTTGGTAACTCGTCTTTTAACCTCCATTCATTATGTCATCTTTTATCTGGTGTATATGTTGAATTCATTCCACTCTTAAGCAGTTACATTATTAAAAGTCATGCTTCGTAACTCAGGTATCTAACTAAATGAGCTTATTATTATTATACCCTTGGGTTCCGAGTGGAACATAGGGCTTCAACAACATATCTCCACTTTGTTCTTTTTTCTGCCGTCTTCAGCGGGGCCGATGACTTCCCATAATCTCTGATCTCTTCACGCAATCTCCTCCATGTCACCCTCACACCTACGACCCACTCATCGCTTCTCATTGTGATTCCACTAAAGCTATGGCCTGCATTGCGCGCGATGTCATTCGACGACCTCCTCAACTTATGGCTGATCCATCTCCATTTTCTCCTACATATTTGTTGAGCGATCGACTCTTCGTTGGTTTGTTTCCACAATTTCTTGTTGCTGATTCTTTCTGGCTGGCCATTTGATCTTCAATATGGAGCTAAGGCAACTGTTGATAAAAGTTCGCAACCTGTTGGAAATGCTTTTCGTGACACTTAGTGCAAGTTTCTGAGACGTATAGAAGAAGAGACTGACTTCACATTTGTGTTGAAAATCCGAATCTTGTTGTTTATGCTGAGTGAGGGCAGAAGATTTCCAAACTGATTTTAGAGTGATGAAGGCGTATCTTGCCTTTCTGATTCTGGCTAGCTTTAACACCTTCATCCATGCCATCCGCCTGTAGTTGAAACAATGCTGGCTTCCTAGACAAGTGAAGGAGGCAACCTCTGTCAATCTCTTTCTCCCACTGATGGTGATTAGTTCTGGTTGTTGCTGTTGTTGTTGTTGCGGTTCGTTGGTGATCTTCATCACCTCCAGCTTCCATGTGTTCACCTGGAGTCCTGTCTTCGCTGCCTGTATCTTCAGCCGGTTTGTTGGTTTTCGCTTGCAAGTCTCCGATTTTGTGTGACATTGAACATATATCATCTGCCATATCCAGATCTTCTAGAATCTTCCTATCGGTGGTCCAACGTATTCCTGTCTCCTCGCTCCCCACAGTCTGACGCATAATCCAGTCGACCGCAATTAAGAATATCATTGGTGATAGTAGCGGGTAGCCTTGTCTTACTTTTGTATTCACTTCGAAAGCTTCGCTGTGTTTTCTGTTGTAAATCTCCTGATATGTGGTATTGTCATATAGCTGTTGAATGAGGTTGATAAAGACTTGGGACACTAAATTTTTCCATATCTCATTTGTTTATCAACAATTTTCTAGTGACTTACATAACCTCAATATCTCGTTTCTGGCCTTGCCCCTCACTTTTTGACCTATTTGCACATACATATATATATATATTTGCCATGATAACTCTTAATAACTGTTTGACAACTTATTTCCAATGAATTAGAGTATTTTAGAATTTTAATAAAACTATTAATCTGCATTACTTAAGTTGTATACGGTTGATAAGATACTGCTCTGTGTGTTGCTATTGCTTTCTTCAAATTGAAGGTGTTTCTTTACTTCATTGACTTCGAGAATAAATAAAGTGTTGTCAGAGTTTCTAGTTCACATTTTAGCTCTCCCCAGTGGAGTTATAGCTGATTCTGGTAGTTGCGTCAATGCCTCAGTAGACCACCATTAGTGATCGCGTAAGTGTCCATTTTTATGTGTTCATAGATCTTGTCACTTAACTGTGAATTGGTGGTGAGACACAAGAAGCTGAGCTCTCCTAGGCTAGTAAATACTTTGGAACACTCTGATAGCGCTTGAGAATAATATCGATCTCTTTTGGCTAGGTTTCGATTGAACGAAGCTCAGAGAATAGTTACATCGAAAGAGGTCATTCTTTTGACCTCTTCTATCTTCAATTCCTTCATTTTGTCTAGGAATCTGACTGGCAAGTTGACTGAATGTTTACAATAATGGTAGAGGCAGTACAGTTTTCCGAAAACTCTTTTCATGGATTGGTTGAAGGTGCTTCATATAGCAAAACTATTGTTCGTAATAGGATATCTGCTATGCTTATTTTACGTCGACAATGAGAACTTGCTAGAATTGGTCTGTTTTTATGGTTACAAGATTTCATCATGAGCTGACATTGGTTAGAGAACCATTGGAAAACCTGCAGGGAGTACTGGACAGCTGTTTCGTCTGCCTAGTTTGGGACTCTTCAGCAGTACGCACCTACCGGGGTTCGAACCCATGACTTTCTGGTTACAAGGTAAGCTCGCACACCATTAAGCCACTGTGACCCGATCCAATGGCCCGTGAATTCTAACTTCTGCCAATTCAAAATATAGCACAACCGCTAGCTAATGTCTTCGGCGAGTATTTGTCGTCACACCCGACCTGCTGCACCCTACTGGTCACAACTTCCCACTGGAACCCCAGGTAACTATCTACCTGAATAGGGCCAGTCGCCAGTGAGCATCTCATTGATATTCAAGTATTCGTTTGTATTCACTCGTCAGATTTATTCTCTAGCACTGTTTCGCCGTCGATAGGTATCCAACTTACTGTATGTATTTTAAGAGACACTTCTAAAGAATTCATAAATCCATAAAATAGTATAATGCAGACGACAAAAATTATAGGTAGAAAAATAACTCACAACACTTTGAATTGAACCTAGATAATAATGACCATCTTTCGATCTCCTGGCCAGAACTTCTCGGTTATTCATCATATCCAATATATGACTAGATTTATTAGCTGACCAGTCAGATAAACACTTCTTTGAACTTGCTTCATCCTTAGCTGATTCATAAATTCGACGATTTAAATCGTCAACTAACTTCTTATTTACAGAAACACGTGACCACAAATTTGGATATGAACAACAGTCGAAGTTACTGAATGAATGCGACCCGAAATCTAAAATAAAACAGTAAATTAAAACTGTTTGTCTGTTGTAGATGTAACAAGCAGAAAAACTGAAATTATTCGTAGGCTAAGAGGTAAGCAATTTCAAAATGTCATTGGTTACTTTAAATATTTTCTATAGTTTGGTTTGTGAGGGTTAGTTTTGTTTTTACGAGTTGATCACTGGACAGCTGTTTAATCCTAGTTTAGGAATCATCATCAGTACGCACCCACTACTAGGGTTCAGACCCAGGACCTTCCGGTTACAAGGCAAGCTCATATGCTATTCAGCCACTGGGACCCGACTCATCAATGGCCAGCACATGAATTCTAACTTCTACCAATTCGTGATTTAGCGCGACCACCAACCAATGTCATCGGTGGGAACTCCATCCTCACACTTGACTGGATGGACCTCACTGGTCACTACTTCTCACTTTTCAATGGTTCTCTAATTGATATCAATCCGTAGTCAAATTCGTATAAACAAATCTAATCCTTATAAACCAAACTTTTAAAGAAAATTCACTTAATAAAACCATATCATTGTGTGTTATATCAAGTAAATTTATGCTGTATGAGATTGTATCCTAATACGATGCCAAAAATCAAGCCTTACACTAACGCTTCTATTTTAGAGTGCAGAAAAATCTTGTTTTTTGTTTCCTTCCCTGAATTTGATCCTTTATACATAAGAAGTGGACAAATACTGGGATAAAGGATAATTTACTTTTAGCTTACTATTGTTCATCCTGTAATTAATCCACATTGGAAGTTATCCCTAACTAGGCTCCATTAAATTAAATCTTCTTATCTTAGTAATTGACAGGTTTTATTTTCAAGATAGAAAAACAATTGATGAAATATGCCTGGTTGAGATGATAAATTTTTATGTTAAAATTTACAAGCGGAGATAGTAATTTTACTTTATTTTACAGCTGAAGAACTTTTGATTTCTGAGGCATTATAATTAAAGATAACTTAGGTAAACAATTCCCTCTTGCAATAAATAAACTCTTATAGTAATAACCTGTTTAGAGGTATCAAACATCAGTTGTCAATTCACACACAATTACCTTAACTTGTGCAATAGGTGGAGTTTTGCTACGCCATCGGGAAGAATTAAGCACACTTTGAACATATAATATCGTTGAGTGACTATGATGTTTGGCATGGCTTTTAGAAAACTAGAAACGGTCCATACATATTCTTAGTGGGGCGTGTGCTACTGATAGGATTTATCAGTAGTATATAAACAGATGTTCATCGGCAAAAAAATGCCAAATATCAGGGGGAAATATTTGACATCAGAGAAAGTAACTGATTCCGTTTAGATGAGGGACGTGGGAGACGTGAAAGAAACATAAAGGAACACAGTACGAAGGACTGAAGTAGCACAACACAGAAGATCTATGTATGTAGCGATTTGAAGATAAGATGCACACATTTTGCTATATAAAGATACCGAATTCTGAATAAAAATTCCTTTACTGAATCACTCGTCTTCTACCATTACAGTTGGTGTCTCTACATCCAGACAACTAAGATTCCATAGCCGGCTGTTTTCAACGAAGGGGAGATACGGAGCTTCTTGTGGGACATTGACGCCATTGCTGAGTTGGTGAGCGTCAAGGATCAAACGGCGACGCTACTAAGAGTCTGAGTGAAGGAGGCTTACGACAGTATCAAGCTGTCAGGTGAGAAGGAGACCTAGAAGGTGTTGGTCAAACGATTGTTGGCAGAGTTCAACAGCCCCACGGAGAGGCAGTTGGCGACGCAGCAGTTCTGTGCTGAGAAGCCGGGACCGGATGGAGACCCATTAACGTTGGCGATGAAGCTGACGATTCTACTGAGTAGCACACCCCTCACACTGGATGAAGAGTCATAGTCGCAGTTATTGGCGTCCCAATTCATCCAGAGTGTCCCAGATCACATTTCTCAGTTAATAAAACTGGTTAGTGCTGCACAACCCATGGACACCGGTGAGCTAGCGAAGGTGATTAGATAGCTGTTGAGCACAACAGTAGCCTAAATACAGCCACCGAAATTGAACGAATAGGAACAGACATTTATATTCTCACAGTACCAGAAAAGTGTGAACTTTATAAATACCAAACAAGTAATCCTGTCACTTACTTTATGTTAAAATTGAATGTTACATGAAGTTAATGCATGGAGAATCTCATTTCTATAAGAAAACCGTTATATTTTACCCTTAAGGAAAGGCTTTATAAAACAAGGTTGTCTTATTTATCTTAGATTATTTTTGGCAAAATATGTTACTTATATGGCTTTAAAACACGAATTTTTCGGGAAAGTTTCTTATTTTCAGGCATCTTTTTTAATTGTGATTCTGAATGGTCAACATTTGTGTAATACCTTCGTGACTACTTAAAAGCTACCCAAGTTAATTACTTTCCATTCCAGTCATGACGTTTATACAGTATTTCATCATAGTGAGAAAGTAACCGAATCTGTAGACACTGTTTCTTCTTTCTGAATATAATCTATGCTAGTAGTATCGCAGTAGGTGGGATTTGTTTTTATTTCGTTTAATCGTTTAATCAGTTATAAACAAAAAAGAAAACACAACTTGCATGTATTGGCGAATTCCAAGGAAGCGGTCAATGTTGGTTTCATTAGTACGCGTTCATGTTCTTTCGAATCATTCAGTTGATAGACTTTCCCACAGGGTAATATGACATGTCGTGAAGGTTCATTGTATAGTAACATATGGATCTGAATTTTCTGAGAACGTTTTGATGTTGTAGTGTGATGTGAACTAGATCTTTTAATGTCCATTAACCATGTGGTGCAACCACTGGTACATGTCTTGACAGTGGAGCAAATTCGAATTACTGCAAATGTTCCAAAAGTGATTTGAGATAGGCGTATCAACTTTTTGATTTCAGAATTTTCGTCTTCTGACAATGAAGAATGGTCATTTGTTGTAGTCTAAAAGTCAAAGCGGAGAGTTTCTAATCAGTGAAAAATGCTTTCAACTTTATTGTAAAAGATTTCTGTCAACTAAATTGAAAAAGCGACTTGGTGAGTTCTCTAAATAGCTAACTAAAAAGTTGCTATCGGTCAATCCTTAGGAGAAAATCAGTAACACTGATACTGTAGCACAAAGCTGTAGTATGCAAAATTTTACTAAGCGCAGTTAAGCATAAGGTCAGAATTCAGTATATAAAGTCAAAAGAAAAGTCAAACGCTTGTGTTAAATACAATGAAAAAGGGAATTGCACTCACTGATGTAACCTGGATATTGAATTAAATGCTTATAAAAGAGGAAGATAAAAGCCTTCTGAAACTGAAAATAATAGAATTATCACTTATTTTAAGTAAATAAAGTTGTTCGCAGCGATTACACTTAATTCTTTTAAAAGAATTCTGTCAAACAGACATAAAGATGACAAACAGAAACAGTTTTCTTAAAGTATACCAGAACTAAGTGAGAAATGGCTTCAGTTATTATGTAGTCAAACAGTTATGTTCGTATTTTGAAACCTTTAGGTGACCTACGGTAGGGATATAATAAGCATTTCACCGTTGAACATGCAACAAATTAACTTGTGACAAAAAACGCTGATTTAAAAGAGAAGCAATTATGCTGGTAAGAAGAGTTATGTAAATTATAACACAAAAGAGGAGCTCATCTCACTGAAATTCTAGTGTAGTCGAAGATCCAACAGTGAAAACTAGATTTATGTTCGTTCTATCATTTTCTAGTGATGACCTTATTTGAAAAATTACGAGTGAGTAATTAATAACTTTTTCTGGTGTTATAGAAGTAGTTTTAGCAGTTGTAACAAATAGTTACTGCCAATATATTCGTCATAATAGACAAAATATGGTGAAAACAGTTTTTTGGAGTGATAGTTTCAGTGAGGAATCCCAAGTCAATGAAAAATATCACCATGAAACGTGGTCAAAAATCCCTTAATGTGATATCAGCTTTGTTAATTAAGTAAATTAAAGAGACTGTATCTATTCTTCTTGTTCTTACAAATCTCAACTCCTCAATATAAAGCTGTAATTCCATTTGAATATTATGCATTTCGGATGCTTATTATCAAGCCTGTATGAAAAGCATCTTGAAATGGTCACATGATATAAAGCAGATTTGTCGAGAATAACCTATCAAAGGAACTTATATGTGCGCCACTCCATTTTATTAGCTTTTAAATAGCCTTTGTACATGACATCAATAGAGCTGCAATGATAATTTTGTTTGAATTGGGGATTTTTTACTCATTGCTTGTTGTGAGGTATGAGTTAGGCTGGATTTTATTCAGCTTCATCAAAAAGTAGGGCTCATTAACTGAAAATCTAAGTGTCTCCAATACACTATGGTATTCGGCAATTCATAGCTAGATTTATGTCAGCGCCTACCTAATTAATAAAAGGTGCAACAGAGACTATAAAGTCTAAGTTTCCAATGGAATCTCCGAAATTTATTCTTTAATTGAGAAAAATAGAACGAATTTCAACTTCCAGAGCGTGAACTAATTCCACAAAACGTAACTCAAAATAGCACGGCATAAAAATTTGCAATAACTACAATTTTGACTACTTTTTAACGAGGAACGATATTTGATAAATCCGTATAGCAGTGTTGACAAAATCATTTGGATAGAAATTTCAGTTTTAAATGTATTTCATACAATGTTAATTAGTGCATGTAACTATGATGTTGTTGACAAGAATTTTGAAAGGCACACTTCTGCTCAGTGTAGTTGAAATTTCCATGTTGTTTGGAAGCATTCGTTTGTCTTGACCTTTAACATACTTCTTACTTTCATGTTTTGTGGAAAAATAATTGTCATTCAGTACATTAGAAATTTTCGGAAATATGATTGTCTTGCAGGAGTATTTGCTGTTCACATACGTCAAAAATAAATCACTGTTACCATTTGTCCAGGACAAACTAGTAACACAGTAGTTCTGTAAAGTCAAACTTTACACACCCAGGAGGTGTGAACTCATCAGTGATGTTGAGAAGAACTATAGAGCTGGTGGTATGTTTATGCTCCTAACTCTAATCTTTCCTTAGCTTAAACTTAATGTCTCCCTAATTAAATTAACCTAACCCTAACATGTCCCTAACCTAAACATAATATTAGTCTTTCCCCAGCCTTCACTTAAACCAACTAGATATCTTGTTTAATATTACTGCAATTCATTCAACACTTTTTTCGCCAATATAGTATCATTTACCCGATTGAACTGTCATGCTCCGACTGAGTACTCTAGGGTCATTGATGCGTTTGTGCCTGTTTCGCGACTAAATTTCGACTTCGCCAGTAAGTCTTCTGTGTCACAATGATGATTGCCTACAATCTATTCCAAACTTACTGGAGACTTATTCAAAACCCCGCTGACTTCAATATCAAAGCATCTGCAGGTGGCTGTGCACAAATTTTTTGTCCCATTGGTAAAAATCACGGTTTAGAATTTCATATTAGGGAGACGTTAACTCATAAAAACTATGACTGTCCTGTTTTGTGGCATCTTAGTATGCTTCATGCAGTGGTTTGATTTATTCATCAAAACTTCACTTCAGTAAGGCTTATATGAAAAAGGCGCTTTATTTTCAGTTGAGTTTCTCAAATAAGATCAAAATCAAGACACATTCAATGAGTTAGCTCCCAGTAAATACAAGTAATCATTAAATTCACAGACATTCAACAAAAATTTAACACATTTTCCAAGTCACCATTTGGTTCTGTGTTAATGGTGAGGCTGGGGATACCATACACAAAATGCTTACCATAGTTGTTTGTTTTGAGTTGAGACGCCAGCCTCGTAAATGTTATCGGCAGACTGCTTTTACGCCCAGTGAAATATACTCTCTTGCCTCAAATGAGAACTATCAGAAAATCAAAATCAGAATTTTCACTGAACATGTAGATTCTATGTTTTATAAACTGGGATCATGACCTATCTTAAAATCGACAATCCACAGATATATTTTCATGGTATCAGGGTTCATCACTCTTTTATTTATCAAATCCACCCTCACTTCTATTTCACTGTAAAAGCCGATGATAGATATACTTAAGTTTCACCAAAAATCATGTTGATAAAGATCAGGACTAAATCACCATAAAAGAAAGGGAACAGAAATGAAATACTCACATTATCAAAAATGATGAGCCTGACATGAACGGCTACTTTGACATTTAGGTGTGAAATCCTGTCCAGAAAAATGTCTTCATCCTGCGATATACTAACAAAGCCAACAGGAAGAAGTAAGTAAACCTCAGAAACTCCATCTATTGTTAAATATTCAAAACAAAATCTTGAAAGAAATTCAAGCGATGAAGGAGATTCTGTATTTTGTATCCATCTAATTGCAGCATTTATGGTCTTTGGGCTACATGCTATAAACTCTTCACAGAATTGGATGTATTTCTGAATAAGATTCCAGATTTTTGAAAATATGTACACATACACTTACCACACCTGTGAGTGCAACATTAAACTTGTATTCATTGTTCCCCGTCAACTTGTAAAGCGAGCATTTTAGCAGTTCGAGCAAACTCTGCTTGTGAGTCAATTCATTTGATACACAAATCATAAATGTGTAGCCGGTAACTGGCCAAAGCAGACTCTCCTTTTTCTGAATCATAATGGTTTCACAAGACAGTATTCATTTGCTGAACTGACGTTTTGGTTTGGGAACCACCAGCAACATGTGATTGAAGTACATTTCAAGAGACAGTGAGGTTTTACTCTGAGAAGCTAACAGATATTACCACTTTCTAACCCCAGTTTTGTATCTAGTGTCAACCTTTGTAAATTTTCATTAATTGTGTATGAGTGGATGGTTGATTTTTCCACTAACGAAGTATGGATTCCTCGAAAGGCACATGGTAACATATAACCATATTTAAATTATACCAAAACTCCAGACGATCATATAAACAACCTCTTTTTGTTACATTTCCAGTGAAGTATCAAAATATTGCAGTAATTTAATGCAAACACTCTTTAATAACAATACAACACACACATCTTTTAGAGAGAAGTATTTATTATTATTATTTCCTTTAGTTCCTAGAGGAACATAGGGCTTCAGCCATGCGTCTCCATTGCGTTCTCCATAGAGAGAAGTGATGATGGGAATTTCTATGAACTTGACTGGTTGAAGGTATTCTGCAGTGTATGCCTCAGCAATTCAGATACTAGCTAACCAGCCAGCTAAGCTATGGAATTTCAGTAATTGACTTCTGTTTCGAAGTTGTCTAACTAATTTTTTCCCGATTTGTGACAGATGTTTTGCCCAGATGAGATATATTGGTAATTATGCTGGTTATTCATAAACATTTATGAACATAATGATAGTGCTATAGACTTCCGTGTAGCGTCTATTGTCATGTTTGATATCTACTACATTACTTGCAATTTGTCATCCCTGCTCCAAATATGTTTATCCTGCATAACTTCACTGCACTACTTGAATATTACTGTTTAATCATTATGTAATTCCATATCTTCCTAATTACTGTTTTTGGATACACATAAAGCACGGTATTGAGTGCAGCAGACACGAAGATAAGATTTGGGACTTAAGGTTACATTGTTGACTTTAGGCCTCAAGTCAAGTCATTTATTTTGCCTTCTTGGAATTAGGATTTTTAAGATAAGTAGAAATAAGTTCTCTTGAGATGCTGTATCAATAGGAAGACGAATTTTGACAAAATATTCAGGTTGATGCACACAATATTTCACGATATATATATGTTTTGCATGTCACTGTGCAATTTTATGCTTTCTAATATTCTTATGTTCGATGCAAACGCAGGAAATTTGAAGACATTAAAACCGCAATAATTACCAAATCATCAAACCATTTTTGATTTTTGGTTATCTATAGGACTGCTATTAGTCACTCATAAAAGTGTAAGCTTAATAATTATAGTATAGCATCACGAGTATAGCTGTTTCACTTCACAGCCTACTGATTCGGCGGTTATAAACAAGCCAATCTGACGTTGTTATTACAAATTTTTAAAGTAAATGAGCATGGAAATGGGTTCCCGTTCATCATTCTTCAATGTTTAGGTAAAAGCTTTCATATAAAACGTCTTAGGGACCGATGACAGGGATTTCAATAACTCTAAAATGAGTAACTAAACACAATGATTGTTGGAGGTGTATGCTATACTTATTGATTAAATGACCATGCAGATTATTAACTGAGTTATTTTGCGTCTATAAAAAACAGAAACGAAAACGTATTGAATGGTTTCTGTTCATCATTAATATTACAAATTCACTATGAATTAGTGACATCGGATTTTATCTATGCAAGCTGGTAAAGGATAATAGACTCAGTTTCAAAGGATGAAATTGTTATATGGTATTTCAATATGTTTTGGTAAAACGGAACCAAAGCCAGCCAGTCAGGAATGATCATTTTATGTTTTGATACTTAGTGAAGAAAACCGGGGTGACGAGAGAAACAAATTAGACGCTGCTTCCATCAGGGCATCAGAATTTAGTCAGAGGGCTGAGTGAATGTGTGAAAAGGTGAAGTTTTAGTTAGTAAAGAGCTGACGGAACCTTGTATGTTTAAGATAACTATGTTTCGATCGTACGTTGCTCCTGGTACATAGGCAATATTTCGAAATTCTTTGTTCTTAGGACTCGAGAGTGGAGTATTCGTCCGTCTCTAATAAGGGTCATTTTTGTAAGTGCTGGAAGGAAATGTATGTGAGCCTCCCTTCTCCTAGAGCGATGTTGAACAGTATGAACAATCTTATTCAGATAACGATTTTCAAACTTACTGTATTCTTTCAATGGTCATTTTAATAAGTATGAATATAACACCTTTCCGTCTGCATCTACCCTGGGATGCTTAGAGGGCAGTTGTTCACCTCTGATTTACAGTCAGAGAGAAGCGGAAACCATACCAAGCGATTGGAGGTTTGTGTAGTTTCTTTAGTTTCATTCAAATCTCATGTACTTATATAAATGCTACGTATGCTGGAGAAAACTCGAAATACTCCCACAAACCCCTGGTTTTTGAACACCTACTACAGATGTAGGCGTGTATTTTTTGAAGGGACAAGGATATGACACAATGAGCGGCGATCACCCAAGGGAGGAAAGCAGAACACGAGCTCCATAGAGACGTGAATTTGAGCAGTCCAAAAATCAGATTATGTGGACTAAGTCTTTACAAAGGATCAATCTTTCTGTCGTCACTGATATCAAGTCTTGATAGAGGTTGCCCCTCCTGCTTCTCAGAATTGACTCTTGGGTATTTCTCTAAGAGGATAAAAAGAGAACATTGTTTAACACTTTACCTATAAGGGTTTTATTTCGCTACATTGCCTCCTCTCCCCCCAAAACCCCTTTCAGCTGCTACCTCGTAGTGATTAGTGGCAGGTGGAGTTTGGAATGGGTTTGACGATTCTTTTAGGGTAGCTGGGTGATATGATATCAGCTGGCTATGATGAGTGGTGATGACGTTTTGCTGAGGTCGTGACAAGTTCCACGGAACCTTTGCAGTTGGTGCCCGATGTTATACGACCTCATAAGGACACGAATCAGCATGAAATGATGGTCGGTGGAGCTAAGCGTAATGGCCGACTGAAAAGGTGGTTCCGCGCGTGAGTTGATACAGGTAATCTTCTAGTGCCTACTTGAAGATTCTAGGTGAGTGCGCAACAGACGGTAGGCAACCTGCAGTCGGTAGCAGAGATCTCGAATGCACCACTTCACTGATCTAACGTCGCTTCACCGTCTTTTATACAGACACAATGCACTTTTCGTTGTAAACCCTCTTGAAGCTAGTTAGTCATTATGGTGGTTAGCAGTGACTACGATCCCGTGGGTCCCAACGCATTTCTTGTATTGTGGTTATGCCTACAATATCTTCTACTTCAATATTTCTCACTCACATAGTGTAGTATTCTGCGTTTCTTGTGAAATAACTGTGACAAACTTTGGCAATGATGTGCCTTATTTTAGAAGTTCATCGCAGGTAACCAGTGCGAGCTGAAGCAGCATGTATGAAAGAAGCCGAAAAACCACTGAAAGACTTTCAAAAAGTGTAGACCTTAATAACTGCTAACAGGGACAGTCTTTTTCACATTCTAGTATGTGGCTGCGTTCATATGCAGAGGAGAAATCGGTGAAAGGATATTGTATAGTAGTCGGACAACTTTGCGGAACTTTTATCCAGGGTGTATGTTTATCCCTAATATGTTTGTCCCTCAGACCACTAGCAAGGTATTGTTAAATGCATTCTTGTAGTGTGATTCGATGGCACAATTACTGGCAGTTACTGATATTATATATGCGTAATATTCATAATGATTTCTGCACCATTAATGTGTTCCACATTTCAATGAAGTGTAAAATATAATCACTGAATTTACTAAGTACTTAAGTCATATATGGTCATTAGTGTTAATCATGTAAATGCGAATTTAATCTGTATTAATTTTGGGGTCTATCAGTTAGTTGATTCCAGTGGGAAGCATACTTAGTCGCATTCAGAAATACACTGACGAATATTTTATATATATATATTTATTCCTGTTTATGCAGGAACATACCAATTGTACAGGCATGGATAAGTTATTATATAAATTACAGTTTGTTTGTTCAATCGAACATTAGAGTCAGTCAGAACATTCTGCAAAATAGTCTGTCTGTGTAACACATAAAGGGATATAGAAATATTGTCTTCGCATTAACAAAAAACCCAGACTTCAGATGAATGTGATACAAATATCTGGGAAAAATAAAGCTTGAAGTCAATTCTCCTATAAAACTTTGTTGTGAACAGCATCCGTGAGATAAAGTTTATTGATGTATTATTTTGATTCAATAATGTATTTATTCCATTTTTGTCAGCAGTCTTATCGTAGTTTTATAATAGGAAAGAAATTTGATCTTTGATACGAAAGTTAGATAAGGTAATGTTAGATTGTTTTACTGCATCAAATGGGGTCAATTCTAGAACTATCCATTTGCGCCATTTGCGTCAGCATGGCAGACTGTACATGTAAGTTGAGTAATACATTGAAAACTGTTTGAAAACCAGTTGCTTCTTTATATCAGATCAAGAATACTCCTTGTACAGAATGTTAGCCAGCGTTTTCAAGTGGTTGCATCGGATCGTTCATGGAATTTGAGTTTGATTTTACATAAATGGTCATTTCAGTTTAGATGTTGGGTTGTTCGACCTCAACCAGGAGGTATATAGAAGATTACGCTCAGCAGGGAGATAAAGTATGTAAATATTGAAAGAACATTATTATTTTATGTACATATAAATGTTTATAAATGTATATCATTGTATAGTAAACACTACCCATAATCTAGTTGTTTTTCATGTAATTTTGCGAAATCTTAGAGTTTATTTAGTGTCGTAATATTTAATGAAGAGTCTAGGCGTTATAGTGTTCTAATAGCTCATGCGTTTTGGAAATAAGTGGTGCGGTGTGATTGGCATAGTCATTGGGATGAAGCAGTTTATATAGCAAGCGTTTGAAGGTTATAATAGAGTGACAGGTCCTTATTTCTAGGGGTAAACTGTTCCAGATCTTAGAGTACATGACTATGAAGAAGTTTGCACGGAGTGCTGTCTTACAGTTTTTCCTAGAAACTGTGCACGTTTGGTTACGAAGGTTGTAAGAGCCTTTCGGTGAGAACTGTATCTCGTTGCTGCCTGAGAATGATATTTTATGCAAGACCTTAAAGAAGAATGTTAGGTTAATGCCGAGTCGTCTCATCCAGAGTGGGTCGATACCTAGAGTTATACACCTTGATGTGTAGTCCTTTTCGCAGTCAAATCCTAGTAGTTTAGACGTGAAGTATCGTTGGACACTTTCTATTTTAAGTTTGTCACTTACGCGAGTGCTGCTGAGAATAAATGGACAATATTCAAG